TAAGGATTTTTTACGCAAAAAAAGGTCAATCTAAGTGCCAAAATGTCAAAATTGAAACGATAGGATGTAGGGAAAGGATAGGGATTTTTTGCCTAATTACCTATATTTCAAGGAAGGATTTGACGGAACATGATGAAAAGGACTAGCCCTGCAAGAAAGGTTTGAAATGAGTGTACAAATGCCAAGTTTGAAACAATAGACTATTTTCACAATGACTATAAATGATAAGGATATTTTTTTCCTAATTACCCTTTAATTTTCACACATGTAATTGCTAACATCAATATCGGGATAACAAGTGGACTTTCATTCATTCTTTTCTTTTGTAGGCCATTAACTTAGTGAAGTCACTTTATTTCTCATTTTCTACAAATTTTTGCTTCTTCTTCAACTTGATTAGTAGCTACGCAATCCTAAGCATCTTTGAATTGTTATCTTTTCCATGACCTTTTTTGAAGATAAATTTTATCTACTTTCTTCATGGTTGGATGTCATTTATCATCCTCTTCCTCTTCATTTGCCACGATCACGATTGCGATTGCGTCCTCTTCCTCTTTCATTGTTGAAATCCCCTCTTCAATTTCCTTCAACGTGAATTTTGTTTAAAGTATTTGCTCCGAAGTATTTTTCTTCTTCTTTTGTCTGTCTTCATATGTTTGAAAGAACCCCATGAGTTCCTCAATAGTCATGATCTCCATATTTTTAGTTTCTTCAATGGTAACTACAATATGCTCAAATTTTGGATATAAAAATATGTAGAATTTTCTCCAAAATTCTAACATTATACAATTTCATTTGCTTTTAATTGATTACCACTACCAACACTCCAGAGAAATACACCGACTTAGATTGTGATTTTTTCATTTATGGAGATTTGAATTCACCTTTCAAGATGAACATTCTTGACTTTCTCCGCTCTCATATAGGCAGTTTGAAGCCTATCCCAAGCTTCTTTGGAGGTGTTCGAAATTGAAATTTTCGCAAATCATCATCATTAAACGATTAATAGATGAGATAGAGAGCTTTCTTGTCTCTCTTTCTTGAATCCTTCAAGCTGTTCTTTTGCCCTTGACGGATAGTAGTCTCATCTATTAGCACATAGTACCCATTTTCTACGATCTTCAATAGGTATTGTGACTCGAGAAATACCTTCATTATAATACTCCATTTGTAGTAGTTGCTCTTCAAAGGATTTTATGGGCATTGATAGCACTTAGTTTGGAAGATGACTTATCTGGATAATACTGTAGGAGAATCTTTGAGAGGTTGAAGAGGTTATAAAAGGAGCTATTATTATATTATAATCTTTAAATTGGCTTCTTACAAAAGAGAATGGAGCACCTACATTTTTAGTGCTCAATGATATCTTCTACATTCCTCTCAACAGTCAGAAATAAATTCATCTTTCAATAACCTTGTAACATCCATGAAATACTTTTTAATACAAAACAAGACTAGATACAGAAAGGGGGGTGGGGTAGGCCAACCAGTTAGTCTTATAGGTAGGGAATTTTTTTCCTATGAATTTATTATTAAAAATAAAAAAAGACGGAAAAAAAAATTTGTCTCTCTTGGCTCCGTCCTTGTCTAGATGGTGAATTATTTTAGAGCGATAGCTTCTCCTAGAACATTGAACTCAATTATAATAATTAACAAGCTCAAACCAAAATAATAAAATTTATTATACACATTCTTTACTCGGATAAATAGCATATTCACTTTCTCCTCTGCTGGCCACTTTAGATCATTCACAACCAATGATCAATCCTAATCCGGCGACGTTCTCACTGGAATCCCGATCACCATCCGATCACTAGCACCATTTTCTGGCGAGTGTGGCTCATCTAATATCAACAACCTTGAAGGGTGTACCTGTGGTGTTGAACCTTCCCATTTTACTGCAACATTAACAATCCCATGCCCCCTTGAACCATCTCTAGCTCTTAGTCTGTAACTCAGGAATCGAATAGACCTTGCCAGAAACAAACAATCCACCATATCGGCTGCCGGAATCCGACACCATCCCAGCTGGGTATGACCCCACAAGAGATGTTTAGTGTAAAGTTTGAGGCATATTCCAAAATGTATCTGGTAAAAAAATGTGACATCAAAAGGTAACCGAAACTTGTCACCCCATGTGGGATTTTTGCCTCCTATATAATCAACCTTTGTTTTGTACCCTTGAATATGTTCATTACTGGTGGTGGTTGGTGAGAACGGTACAGTGACGTTGAGGGTAACGAAAGGCCGGAGGCGCCCTTGGAAGATTGCTGAAGAGCTGGCTGTGCTAAGATCTTGAGCCGATACTACAGTAATTTCCAAGATTGAAGGCTGGTTATCATTTTGCATTTTCAGACAATGAAAACTTAAAATTATATGAATCTGTGAGCGCAGACCCATGTATATATTGGAAAATAGATTAAAAGACATTGATTTGTGGGGTTTCAACTAATTTCTAAGCGTAAGTCACAAGGCAACTTCCTTTGTGGAAAAGTGAAAAATTGAACATTCAAATGCAGACAAATTTAAAGAATTTTTCATGCTTGATGGATTAAAAAAGCAGCACGTCCCTAATAAATAATTGTGAAAAATATCGATATAAAAAAGGCTTATCAAGTATTAGAAAATGTGCATGCTTGGAGTCAATTTATTTTGTTTTATTATAATCAAGAAACGTCGACTTGTGCCAACTCAGAAGTCACACCTAATACGGCACTATCCTTTTCTTTGCAAAAATGAAAAATATAAAATAATAGAAACAAATTAAGTTCATGATTGACAACCATTATTTGGGTAAAATGGAGTTTTGAATAATGATTTTTTGAAGAACCAATGGTTGACAAGTAGGAAAAAAGATTTCATTTACGTGCAAAATATTTGTATGAATGTGTGATTGAAAATGAGTATATAATGAAAAGAGTTTTGAATAATGGTTGTCAAACGAGGGCTAAATTGATATGAATATTTATACTAAAAATATCTGTCTTTTTAAGAATTACAGAAAGCTTAAGCAACATACATATATATTTCACAACTACACTATTTGAAACTATTGGTTATTTTATTTTTTTTCATGTTCTTAACTAGTCTAGACGTTTTTAGCCTGAATAATAATATTTGTCTGAAAAAATATTAAAAAAAACTAGCGAAACTGATAGAAAAAATTTTCATTAAAAAAGGTGAAAATGCATTGAGAAAAAAGGCACAAACATCCAAAGAATGCACTGGAAAATGGAAACGTAAAACGAGCACCAAAAAAATTAAAAAAATGAAAATACTCAAATGAAATTAGGCTAATTTATCGATGTCAACGACCGCTAGAGAAGCACAATCAATTCACTAATCAAAATATCAGTAACACGAGTTTTCTTGCTCTCCCAATTTTTCCTACAAAAAATTGTTGACGATGGAAATCAGATCAACAAATCTTCTCACCTAATCAGAGTTTTAACCTCCTAAACTCTCTAGCTTCAATGCTCAAATTTGGAGCTAGAGAAAAAATGACTATTTGAGAGGGAAATATTAAAATTACATGCATTTCTCTATAAAAAAAATGGGGGTATTAATAAATTTCCCTCCAAAATTTAGATTAATTCAATCACTTAGTCCATGTTTGATTTAAATCAAATTTTAATCTAAGTTAAAGATTAACAATTAATATTAACCAAATATTTCATAGGTCTCACAACTTTTCAACCTCACATTTCAAAAACTTTATCAAAATTTACTAAAAATTTAATTTTAATCCTCACCGATCAGGAATTTAGAGAAAACAATGGATGTTGGCCTCTTATTAGCTACCTTATAACTGATTATGTTAAGTATCATGTTTATTTCATTGACCCACATTTATTATAATGTTATGCTATAGGTGAACTACCTATTTTGCTTCATAGTCGAGCTCTTAGCGATCTTCCGGCCTTAGTAGCTTATATCTTTATCTTGTCATCTGAGGTTCGCGAAACTGAAAGACTACTTTATCCTTTTAACTAAAACTTTTACAATACTAGTGTTCAAAGTACCATGGGTGAGTTTGTACGACAGATTATTCTATTTCCGACTTTGGGCATTTTTATTTTTGGCTAATGGCCAACTTTTCCTATTCTTTTCAGTGCGGATTGATTTTAATGCGAATCTTTCTAAATGCCAGGAGCTTTCTTCGCCTAAGATTTTAGGCTTGTCAAACCTGAAGGGACTAGTCACATTCTTTTTGGGGATACGATCATACATCCTACTTCCCGTGAGGGTCAGGGGGAGTACTGCAGTTCCTTGTTGGTGATGTTTTGGTTCAAAGGTCTTTGCCCTCATACTTTATGTCTCATTTCTCGTTCATCCATGCCGGGGATCTCTCTAAAGGGAAAAAGAAAACGTCAAGTAGGTCCGAGCAAGTTTCGAATCCAAAAGTTTCTTCTTTACTTAGTTTCGAGTCTTTGCTTAATCCCATATGTCATGGTGAACTGGATACAAGGGCATCCACACTTCTTTCCTTTGTTGCCTAGACTACAAGGTCATGCTATACCAATTTTAACCAGTCGTGTAGAGATTGGTTGAGGAACTTACTTCCACCCAGAGGGAGAAATGATCAACACTCATTTGTTGCAAGTTGTGTTCTTAAACCAAGGCCAGCAGACATATTATGAGCTTTGCAATACTAAGGTTAATATTTTAGATATGAATGATCAATCTTTGGAGGAAAAATGTGACATACTTCAAAAGAAACTCGATATTGTTGAGGGGGAGAAAACACGGTATAAAAACATGTGCAAAAACGTAGAGAATTACATTAATATAGAAGCTTCTCTACTAGCTAATATTAGAAGGTTCTCCAAAGATTTAATGCAGACTAAGGTAGACAATTGAGTATATGCCGATCGAATATGAGCAAACTACTATGCTATTAGGAGGAACTTCAAATGGCTAAAGTCAGTTTTTTCTTCCAAAAAAAGATCTTAAAGAGGCGTAGGATGAATTGATTTTTCTCCGAAAGGAGTTGGAAAGTTGTGAGTCAAAATTTTCTATTTTGGAGTCTGTAATTGTCAAAAGGAAGGATTATGAAACCAAACTTTTCGAGGAATCCATGCAAGAAGGGAAAAACAAGGTTCTCAATATTATCAGGAACTTCATCTTGAATGGGACATTTATTTTTAAGAAGTTGGTGAAAGGGATGCAAGTGACATCTAGTCTTCTGGAGTCTCTTTTTAGCCGATGTATCACCTAGTTCATTGGGAGAGTTCTATCCGGTTGATTGAATGATTCGAAAAATGAAAAGCAGTAGTACTTCACCTAGAGAGAGAGAGAGAGAGAGCCAATAACACCGTGCTAAGTAAGAGACGGAAAGCACTCATTGTGATGAATAGTTAGTACGGTTCTAAGGGAAGGAATTAACCTACCTATTCCAACCGGGGAGAACATGCCATTCGCCAGGGAAATTTTGAAATTCCGGAGGCTTGGTTTGATCAAGCAATTGAGTATTGGAAACAGGCTATAGCGCTTACTCCTGGCAATTATATTGAAGCACACAATTGGTTGAAGATCACAGGACGTTTCGAATAAAAGAAGACGCCGTTTATTTAGTTTATTAATTCTATTCTATTATTTATATATATTTGTTAGAATTTTTTGTTTGTTGGCCTCATCAGTCAAATAAAAAAATGGATCATTTCTTTGCTTTGTGAAGAGCCAATCAAAGAATTTCATTATATCCCTTCTAAGCGTTCTATTTCATCTCATATTTCGTAGGGATGAAAAAGGGATAGAGTAAAAAATATATTTATTTACTTTTTTTTATTATTCAAAATTTTATTATTAATATGAAAATGAATTCTTTTTTAAAAACCTAAATTTAAATCTAAATTAACAGCTAAATAAAATATATACCAGGATGTCTCTTAGTAATGACTGCTCACGTGATTTGAAATAGAGTAATTCATATCATCTATGGAAAAGATAAAGTAGTTCTATCTAAGACCTTCTAATTGAGATATGAATCTACACTAGTTTGTACAAAAAAAAGTAGTTTTTGCATCAATCCAAAGCTACAAAAAGGTTTTATAAGATTTTATAAGATAAAAAAGGTCCGTTAAATGCCTCATGGCTATGTCATAATAGATCCGAACACTTGCCCTTGTTCGACTTCCAGATCCTAATTGCTCTAGTGAATAACTAAAGAAAATAAATAAATGGGAGATAGAAGAGAAACAAACTAATTATAGAAATATCTCTTAAAGATTTACTAATTATTTGACTGTTGGCAGGTCTCTTTGTATGTGTTGTCAGAAAAGAGGAGGACTCAATGATTATTCGTTCACCAGAACCAGAAATCAAAATTTTGGTGACTAGGGATCTCATAAAAACTTCTTTCGAGGAATGGGCCAGATCGGGCCATTTCTCCAGAACAATAGCTAAAGGACCTGATACTACCACTTAGATCTGGAACCTACATATTGACGCTCACGATTTCAATAGCCATATTAGTGATTTGGAGAAGATCTCTCGAAAAGTATTTAGTGCCCATTTCGGTCAACTCTCCATCATCTTTCTTTGGCTGAGCTATATGTATTTCACGGTGCTCGTTTTTCCAATTATGAAGCGTGGCTAAGTGATTCAACTCACATTGGGCCTAGTGCCCAGGTGGTTTGGCCAATAGTGGGCCAAGAAATATTGAATGGTGATGTGGGCAGGGTTTCCGAGGAATATAAATAACCTTTTCACATTTGATGAGCATTTGGAATAACTAGTGAATTACAACTCTATTGTACCACAATCGGTGCATTGGTCTTTACAGCATTAATGCTTTTTACTGGTTGGTTTCATTATCATAAAAAGCGACCCCAAAATTGGCTTGGTTTTAAGATGTAGAATCTATGTTGAATCACCATTTAGCGGGCTACCAGGACTTGGGTCTCTCTCTTGGACGAGGCATCAAGTACATGTATCTTTACCGATTAACCAATTTTTAAATGCTGGAGTAGAACTTAAAGAGATACCGCTTCCTCATGAATTTATCTTGAATCGAGAACTTTTGGCTCAACTTTATCCAAGTTTTGTTGAGGGAGCAACCCCATTTTTCACCTTGAATTGGTCAAAATATGCAAAATTTCTTACTTTGTGTGGAGGATTAGATCCAGTAACTGGGGGTCTATGGTCGACCGATATTGCACACCATCATTTAGCTATTGCAATTATGTTCTTGATAGCGAGTCACATGTATAGGACTAATTGGGGTATTGACCATGGCCTAAAAGATATTTTAGAAGCCCATAAAGGTCTATTTACAAGTCAGGGTCATAAAGGCCTATATGAGATCCTAACAACGTCATGGCATGCTCAATTATCTCTTAACCTAGCTATGTTAGGCTCTTTAACCATTGTTGTAGCTCACCATATGTATTCCAT